AACATGCTGTTCCTCTAAGTCTGTTGCTACCAGTGTGTGCAAACTTTGAGCTTCTCAGAGGCAGGGCTGGGCCCAGAGTACAGCAGGTGTGAGCTGTGTGGAAGCCAATGTCTCCCATGTGCACAGTCTTAGTGCAGGAAGTAGGAGATTCTTAGGTGAGCACAGCTGTGGTTGAGTTTCATGTGTATATTCAATATATACACATGTGAGTAAATGTAAAAACGATAAAATAAAAAAAAAAAAAAGGAAAAACCCAGGGCTGCCAAAAATAAAAATACCAAAGATTTCTAGCATAATTCAAGATTTATCTTTTCACTTATCAAAATGAGGAAAAATTTATTAATATTTATAGTGTGAACTAAACATAGTAGTGAATTTTTGAAAATTACATAATTAGAACAGCTGAAAGGCTCTTAAGAAAAGAAAAATATGTTAGTGTTTTCAGACGGTGGGGCACAAAACCAGTGTGGTATATCATAACTGACATTTGAGACATGAAAAGAAAATAAAGAGAAAAGAAGAACAGAAAACAGAATGAAGAGTGTTAAAGCAATTAGCATGCAGCAATGCTCAACACTAGTGTGAAACTGTTCTGAGTGTGTGTGTATGTGTGTGTGAGAGAGAGAGAGAGAGAGAGAGAGAGAGAGAGAGAGAGAACAGCAAGAAAGATTCTGGAGCCATAATGTGAAACAACTTTCTCACCATGGCTGAGAGTCCCAAAGAAGCCAGAGCTATGTGTGATGTGAAGTCTCCATCCAGGAGGTGAGACAGTAACAACTTTCAGAAAATAGCCAAGTGGCTCCAGTAATTTTTAAAGAGTCAGCTGAGTTTAAACTTCAGGATACCAGGAGACCCCCTTATCTCCTCCACCCTCTTCCAGCATGAACGCATACTCATGGCTGCACAGGCATGCTGATGCCACTTCAGAATGCAAAGCAACTCTCCCTGGTAGCCCACTCAGGAGCCAGGGCACAGACACAGCCCACATCAAAAAATCCCAAAGAGCAGTGATGACTCCCACCAACGATCAGGCTCCCAGGGCAAAGTGACTGGATGAGACACAAATCATCCACCAGGGCCTTCCTGAAGGGGTGTGCCAGTTTATCAGCCTTAAGAAGTCTCCATGATCTCACAGAAAAGGGCCACCATTTATCATTTAAAATGCACACAAAATAATGCCATCCACCTCACTGCCAATTCTAACACCTGTGGTTCTTTGCTTTTGAAGGGCCTTTTATTTTTCAGAATTTCTGAAAAACCACAACACACTAAAAATTCTACTATACCTAACGCTAACTGTGTAAACCGAAGTTCCTCAGACAAGAAATCACCAAACACACCTCACAGTTTATCTACACATGCAGCTCTCACTCTGTGAGCTCCTGCCAGGTCAGGATCCCCTCCTCAGCCTCAGAGTCTCCCCAAAGGTATGGACTGCCTGACCCTGATCTGGGTTGCTACACAAAGCCCAAGCTCCATGCTAGCTGACCCCACAACTGCTCACACTAACCAGAGGGCAGTGACAGCCCTGCTGAAACCTTCCCACTCTGATGGCCCCTTCCTACTCCACTGATCTTCATCCTAGGACAGTAGATGATGAATTTTAAAATATGCATTGAGTACAAAGACACTATGGAGCACATGCTGCAGTTTATCACCCACACTCCAGTGGGATCTGGGGCTACATGGGGACAAAAGAAATCAGCAGCTTCAATCAGGTTAATGATGTGCCAATTTTTTCAAAGCTGACTTTGAACAAGAACCAGTTGGAACAAAGCCACACTCTGGCATCTGAACAGCTGAGGCCCAGGCTCAGGCCCCTGCTTTCATTCTAAGGTGCCTGGCGAATGCACCTTAAACTCAACTCTGACACGTCACCATCTAGGTGCTTCCTTAAACTGCAGTTCACATGAGGGATGGAGAACAACCACTGCAAGAAGACACTTGCCCAAACGAGGGAGAGGACAGCACGCACCACAGGCTCTGCTTCATGAAGCCCAACACTAGATTCCGAATATGTTTATCCACCTCTGAAAGAAGCCAGAGCTATGTGTGATGTGAAGTCTCCATCCAAGAAGTGAGACAGTAACAACTTTCAGAAACTAGCCAAGTGGCTCCAGTAATTTTTAAAAACAGTCAGCTGAGTTTAAAGTTCAGGGCGCCAGGGTATCCCCTCACAGCCTCCCCACTCTTCTAGCCACCAATGCTGTTGAGTAGGACATTATAGCATGAACCCAGAAGGCAATACAGGCAATGCAAACTCAGAGTGGGGACTGATGGACACAGTTGACCAACTGGCAAATAGTAGAGAAAATAAGGGCTAGAATGGTTGACAGCCAGCACTCCCGGAGGGCAGTCCAAGGCCCTCCAGGGTTGGAAGGGTGGTTCGGGGAGGCGACACAGGCCCCACACAGTCCCATGCTTCCCCACACCTGCACCCCCGTGGCCAGCCAGACTCTTCCTGAAGCTTCTGATTCTCTGCTGGGTTTTCCTGACCTTTCTCACTCACAGCTATCATAGGTATGACCTTACATGGCAGATCTGCCAAGGCAAACTTTGCCCCTAGAGGCAAAGTACAGTGTCTCTAATCTCACCGGACTGTCACCTCCAGTGCCCGAGGCCCTGGCCTCCTGCGACGCTGTCCCTCCTCATAGCAGAGTCATATTGTCCTTGTCCTGACCACTTCCCACCACATCTGAGTGACATAATGGCAGTGGATCTATAGATTTGCAGAAAGCAATCACAGAAAGGTCTTTAAAAGCATTTGCAATTCAGAAAAACCTTCTTTCACTTAGCACCTCTTCTCCATAAATCTGGAGTAAGTGTGACTTGACAGTCTTCAGTAAACCAAACACCAACATTCACTCCAGGACCAAGGAAGATCAGAGTCAGGCTAGAGGGAAAAGAGCCCACGGTGAGCACGGGGGAGGTGGAGCGGGGCAGACTCTCCCCCAGCACGAGTCTGGGTTTCTGGCCCATCAGGGACATCAAGGTGAGTGGGGTGTTTTGTGCCTTTTGAAACATCATTCTGTTTCACAATTATCTCGTCAGTTTGGAAAGCAAAGCCATTATAAGCAGGGTAATCTAATAGGTTTAAGAACTAGCCAAGTGATGAAATACAACCAGATTTTCCACAATCAGAAAACAAGAAAGGACTGGCTAAAGAGATTAGCCAGAAAAGGCACCTTCCTTCAAAAAAGGAGAAGGCGCCAGGCACTGAAGCCTGGCTGGTACCATGCATGTTGGTGCTGGCCTTCCCGTGAGTGGGCTCTGACCTGAGGTCCACATCCATGATGGCAATTAGGAGTGGGAGGAAAAAGTGTGAGATTTGGAGGAAAGGCAATCAGATGGTGTATAGTACTATGTAATATAAAAGCGATCAGGGCAGAAGGTTGTTTACTTTGCAGTGAGGCAGGAAAAGACCATAAATGAGTGGTAAGTCATGGCCAGCACTGACAGGCTCCTGTCACTGTGGGAAGGGTGTGCTGAGAGAAATCAGGAAAGCTCTGCTTTGGGGAACTCCAACAGTGGCTCTACTTGAGAGGTAGAGATCAGGAGGATCAGGGTGCAAGGCCAGCCCAGGCAAAAAATTTGCAAGGCTCCATCTCAACAATAGCTGGCCATGGTGGTGTGTGCCTGTGATCCTAGCTACATGGGAAGTGAAAATAGGAGAATCGTGATCCAGGCCAGCTGAGCATAAATGCAAGACCCTATCCCAAAAAACAGGTAAGGCAAAAAGAGCTGGGGGTGTGACTCAAGTGTTAGAGCACCTATCTGGCAAGCACGAGCCGGAATTCAAATGCCAGTACCACCAAAAAACAAACACAGTGAATATCAAAGGTAACAAGCCTTGCTTTTCTCACACAGTAAAGTACAGACACATTTTGACTATGGTGCAATTCCACTACCTGCGTAAATACGAACCATTTCTCTGTTGTAGAAAACAGAGAAACCACTGAGTGCTGGGCCGATCCTCTGCTGCCCCAGCTGAAGGTGAGAATCATGCAAGAGGAAGGCAATGGAAGGCAACTTCGGCCAGGCTTGATGAGCCCTTGTCACCAATGGCCAAGCTCGACAGGAACAACTGTGGGTCCTAAATCTTCAGCTTTGTGTTTCTCTGGCTCGGGCTCTCTCCCAGAGAAGCTGTTTTATATTTATACACTAACACTGCTGCAGCCCACCTGACTGCCACCATGTGTGCCCCGAAAACTAAGAAGCCCATTTAAACAGATGCTTCTGAGCATGCAGCACTAGTCAGGGTGCCTCCTGGGGTGGAAAGCACCCCAGAGTGTGTCTGCCTTTTGTTCCCCAGCCCCATGATGCTCTCCCAGCTGGGGAGATGGGGAAGGACCCACAGAGTCTTTCAAGGGTGATGAGCAAGCTCAGTGTACCTGGTCCTTGCCACCTTCCTGAGTTATGTTTCTCAAAACAGGAAGGCCAAAGGACTCTTTCTTCACAGACCCAGCAGTCTTCAAAGACCATGACAGAACAAGCCCTCACAGCCACCAGCACTGCCCTTCCTCCTCATCAGCAAATCCCTCCCAGGGCCCACAGGTCAGGGCACTTCATTCACTGGACACGGAATGCCTATCAGTTGTGTTCAATGGAAGCTGCTCTTCCTCTCTCAGGTTAGGAAAATAGGAAGGGATTTGAATTTGATAGCAGTAAGCAGGAAGAAAACCCACTTGTCCTACACTCAGCTACCTATGTGAACGTGATCACCAACTTTCACATAACTGCAGAAAGTAAAACAAACCCAGGGGAGTTTCCTCTACGAGGCAAAAACTGCCACAAGTTCCCCCAAGCCACACATGGAACCCCATAACCCCACTCTGCACACCCTGTCAAGCACCTGAGTGGTCCCAGTCCTTCTCAACCCCAGCTCTTCACCACAGAAGCTGCCCCACCATAGCAATGGAGTGCCTCATGCCAGCAAATAGGCCAGGGGATCGTGCAGGTCACAGTGAGTAGGAGTGCAGTGAGAACAGGTGAGCTCTTACCTGCCCGTCCTGGCCAACGTGATGGATCTGCAGATTGCCCTGCAAAGTGAACAAAGACAGGAAATGATCAAGAGCAAGAAGGGCTCCATGACATGCTTAAACCCGAGTAAGGACTTCCGTGTGACACGTGGGAATAGCTAGGAAACCACTAATCTACAATGCCCAAGCCCTTGTAGCAATAAAACCCACATAATTAAATTTTATGCTGAGATTCTAGATGTTTTTCCCTTGTATTTAAAACAAACAAACAAACAAACTTGGACCATTCTCTGTACCCTGACCCAAAATGAGAATTTCTTTTTTTTTTTTTTTTACACTTTTTATTTAAAACAATTTTAGATTCACAGGGAGAACAGGCAGTAGCACAGCATGGTTCTGTGCACTGGCTGCCATCTTTCCCAGCAGGGACATCCTGCACAGAGGTGCTGCATCCTCACGGCAGGAATGCACTCACACATGCGATAATGACCCCGGCTGCAGTGTGCTCAGAAGCAACGGACAGAAAGTCACTTCCACTTGTACAAGAGAACTTTTTCAAGTCTAGTAGGCGCTGTTAAATGATTCTTTGCAGATACGCTCATTTTAACAAAATAATTAATTTCAAATGAACAAAGGCAAGATTTATCATTAGAAGATGACTACACACCATAACACCACAAAGTGATCCGTGAAGACATCAGCAATGTTCTAATTGATTGCATTCAATTCTTAATGGAAACAAAAATACTGAATCATATTTATAGGAGAGATTCAGTTTTGAAAACTGAACAGTGTGGAGTAGATTATGAGAAGCCTATGAGAAGTAGACATAAGCAAGGTGAGATGCAGATCAGCTGCTTTTCCTAAGATGTTTATCTGTAGGCTGAGATTGGCACAGCCCCAGCCACAGAAGAGGGAAATGCAGAACAGCTGCTTCTCCTAAGTTGTTTCAGAGAAGCAGGAATGCAGTTACAGTGTCACGCCCTTCCCGGAGAACTGCTGCTCCACCCTGTTTACCACTGGGTGTAAAAGACTCACTGAAGGAGGACAGGAGGCTTTTGCTTCAGAGGCTTTTTGCTTTTTGATGGGGATGGCTTTTGAGCTTTTGGTTTTTTGGTGTGGGAGGCTTTTGGAAGGGAAAAGAATTGCTGAAGGGGAAAGAACTGCTAAAGGAGAATTGCTAGCAAGCCTGAGGGCCAAGACTTTAAGAAAGCTAAGAGAAAACATGGGACAGAGCAAGTCTAAGGAAAGAGGTTTTAAACAAGGTTTTAAAGAAGATTTAAAAGCAAGGTTTTAAAGAACTGTGAAGGAGCAAGGCCTTAAAGAATAAAGATAGAGAAAAGAAGCAATGAGGGTTGTGTGTCTCCATCCGAGAGCCCAATACACCTGATCTCACCTTCTGTCTGTCTATCTATCCAGATAGTCACCCCAGTTAGGCCCCAGTTAGGTTTAGTAATAACCAGGAGTGAGAGAAAGCTTGCTCCAAAACAAGGGAGTGAGAGGAAAAGCTCACTCCAGAACTGGGCAAAGCTGATGATAAACACTGAAAATCAAAAGTAGTCTAAAGATTTTTTTAGCATAAACTAAAAAACAAATGTGTAGTTTTTTTCTCTTCTATGGCAGCACCTGTTTACCCTCACTCAAGTGACTACAAGAAAATTAAGAACTCTGACTCTGTCCAGAGTGCTTGGGAATTGTGGCTGGCCCCCACATCTGTACCTTTAATATCAATCCTGTGTCCCCATCCCCCCCACAGTGAGTACTGCAACTGCATGGCCACTGTCCCTTCCACTGGACCAGGGTCCCTCTCCCCGCAGCAGCTGACAAAGCCTCCAAGGCCCTGGCCTTCTCTAGCTTCACCCTCACTGCTCTCAAGGCCTTAGCCCGCACTCCAGCGAGACCACTGTGTAGAGGATGGGTGAGTTTGTGTGTTTGCTGGACCAGTCCTCGTTGCTCCCATTAATCCTCCATTCTTCACCCACACCTCATGCCCATGCTCCCTCATCCTGTGCATGCCTGCCCTCATGATGTGCCCAGGGACAGCTTATGGGGGTCTAGGTGAAGCTGTGCCAGACACCACCCACAGCCCTCTCCTGAGGCTTCACGCCCTCTGTGCCACAGCACACAGCACCCTTAGCCTTCTTCACAGTAACTGACTGGGAGGGCCCAAGTCCTTGAAGGGGAGCCTCCATGTCCTGTCTCCCCACAGTGGCCACATACTAAGGTCCCCCGCCTTCCCTGAGCAGCCTGCGCACAGCAGCTGAGTTGGTTTTTCACAAATCAGCAAGTGACACTGCTGCCCTCACAGCTGAAGACCCTGGGGCTGAACTGAAAACTATGTTCCTTTCAACTACCTTTATCCACAGATGGAAGCAGCCCAGGCATGCTGGAAGATGAGGAGAACATTCCCCAAATCACCACAAAGCCAGGCAGACACACCCCAAAGAACACACAGAGGCTCTCTGACCCCTGCCAGACCCATGACTGTCCTGCACTTGGTGTGGTCCTTGAACACACTACTGAATGGTCTCCCAGCTGAGGAGGGTGGCAGCTGAACTCACCTCACTGTCCTGCGTGATCTGCACCTGCTCCCCTTGAGGCACCTGGGCGATGTGGAGGTGGCCCTGTGGGATCCACGGCAAGAGAAGACACCAAGAAGCATCAGAAGAAAAACAAACCAAAGGAAATAAGAAGCATTTTCTGCCACACTCATTCTTGACTATCTGCTCACAGCTCAAGAAAGGACAGTCCTAACCAGGGCAGTGTAAGGTGGGCACAGTTCGAGCTCATTAGATGGCCTTCTGAAATTAAATGGTTAGTACACAACATAGACACTCTGCTATGTCTTTAAATGTTAACAAACAAGTAAACTTAAGAATGTGCTGCCAGCTCCAGGAATGCCAGGAACAGGGATTGAAAGGGCAGGGAAGTCACATGTGTGCTGCACTGGAAAGGGTAATTCTGTTAAATCAAAGAAACACTCACATGACTATCTAAGCAACTTGCTTAATAAATGTGGTTCCAAAGAATCCATTTTGTTTATAGATAACAGGATAAATGAAATGGAAACTCACTATCTTATTTTAAATTGTACCTTGGTCAGAATGGCTCCTGAACAGCTGCAGGGTGTTCTGTTGCTTCCATTTCACTATGTCCCTGTAAACCTGTGTCAAAGTGATCTGTCCTGGAGTTCTTTCAAAGCCCTTTCATACTAGTAAGAGGAAAATAACTGCCTTTGTGGCAATGCGCCTGTGTTTCAGAAAGCTTATTAAATCCCCTATTTATAACTGTTTCATTTCCTTTGGAAGAAGGAAAACACCATCTAGAAGCTCCCACCTCACATATTCTGAAAACCCACTCCCAGGCAACATGCTAAATGCAGTACCACCAGGCCACCCAGGTGACAACAATGCTTCCTTCTCACAGAGCAGGACCTGGTTCCAGGAGAGAGCTCAGGAGTGTGGACACAGTGATGACTACTGTCTTCAAAGGCCCCAAAGGCTTTTGAAAAACACCATACAAACCCAGTGGTACCCTTAAAATTCCTCATTCCTTTGCACAGTTTCTAGAAAAGTCTTCCTTCCTTTCTGCCACCACCTGTTTGCCACAGGAGCACATGGAGTATGTAGAGGACCCTTACCCCTGGCCCTTCTGCTGATCATAATTTGGGCCACAGGACCCCCAGCATAAAGGAACTACAAACGACTGAGGCTGGACTTATCACCAATGTCTGTACAAAGCCAGTGCATGTTAAACAATCCCAAGGGAAACCTGGCACAGAAACTAAGGCCACTAGCTTTCTCCTCTGCTCCCACAAACCTTCTCTTCCCTCAGTAAAAGGGTGCCTGTGTTTATGAACTGAGAAATGTTTATGATGTTTCCTAGGACAGGCAGAAGCAGGGACTCTCAAATGGTCTGACCCTCAATCACATTGTATACACGTGGGTGACACCAACATTCTTGCAGGATGAGGGATGAACCAGGAGGGACCAATGAGGTCCCACGGAGCAAATTCCATACAAGGTCATTCAGCAATTGCCCACCCCCATGAAACCTAAAGGCTCATGGTATCTTCTCCTTTGCAGGAAGCTATCAGTGTGCCGTCCACCAGCGCCTACCACTGGCGCAGCCTCCCCGCACCCCGCAGACACATCAGGGAGAAGGGCACATACTACTTGCACTTGTCCGTCCTCTCCAATCTGGTGGATCTGCACCTGCTGCGCGTTGGCCAGGGCATAGTGCAGGGCCTGTGGCTGTGGTTGCTGGAGCTCACCGGTGGGCGATGGAGTGCCCATCACAGTCTCTGTGGGGTACAGGGAGCAGGTGTGGTGACTCAGGCATGGCTCCACAGGCAGAGCAACACCTGGGCCATCTCAATTCCTCTTAACCTCGCCTCAATTCCCACAGAAGAGGAAAGGCACACCTCACTCCTAGACTTGCGGCAGCAAGCTTTTGGATAAGAAGATTTCCGAGAACCCAAAAGGTGTAAGACTCAATGGCACTCTTGTACCAAACCCCTTCTATTCGCATTGACCTAGCCAAATGAACACCAGACCTCAGGATGCATCCACAGAAATGAACAGGGTGACACTGTGGTTAAACCCTGTTTCAGACCACAATACATGATATTGTTCCGAGGAAAATCTGCCCATCTACTCAAAGACACATTTCCAACAAAGTTTACTTTCTGTGTTTATCAAAATGAGATACATTTGTTTTGATAGATTGTATGTATTTTCAATTGTAATGATACCTCAATCAGAATTTTCTTAAACTTATTAAGGACTTAGAAATTTTAAAATGCTTTAAATGTATGTTCCTATTTTTGCTGTGCAGAATTATAATGATTGGTGAATAAAAACTTAGGAATAAAAAACTTAGTGAAAGTGTGAGAAAAGTAGAATGCTGGTATGAATGGAGGAGACATGTCAAAGATGTAGAATGTTTGATTATTGAAGGAAAGCTTGTCATGTTTTGGCTTTTTGTTTGTTTTCTTGCTTTACCACCTGAGCTGAACATTCCAGTTCATTTTGCTCTGGTTATTTTGGAGATGGGGTTTCATGAACAATTTGCCTGGGCTGGCTTTGAACTGCGATCCTCTTGACCTCAGCCTCCTAAGTAGCTAGAATTACAGTTGTGAGCCACAGGTGCCCGGCTTGATGTGCATTTTTAATAACTGACAGTGGGCTGCCAAAGTACACAGACTCTATGGTGTACATTCTTAAAGGAGTGCCGCCACAGTGACAAAACATGTGGGTCTGCACACAGATGTGCAGGCAGTTGTTCTCAAGAACTTGTCCTCTGCCCCTACATGGATGTCCACCTGAGGACATCTGGAAGTCACCAATGGACTTTCGGCATGTATAAACGATAAAACACAGCCCCTCAAACTCAAGGACCTATGAAAGTTCACAGTGTTGGCAAACTGCAGAACACAGTGCAGATGCTTTAATAAACTGATTTTTTAAAAGTTTTGAAGCTACTGATCTCATGGTTTATATTCACAGTGGTAATAACTGAGTCCTCTTTAAATAGACTAGTGGGAGGTTGGGGGTGGGGGGGCAGAAGAACCTGTAATTCCAGGCTGAGGCAGGAGGAGGAAGAGTTCAAGATCAGTCTCGGTTACATAGTAAGACACTGCCTCAAAAAAAAAAAAGCACAAAAACCTAGTTAAGTAAATAAACAGACTGCTTTTGACACAGAACCTCATTCACAGTACTTATGTGGAAGCTCCTTTTCTGTCTGCTGATAATTCAAAGATGAATGGAATCACTGCCAATTCCAAATGAATGGAATTCTGGCTTAATTTCATGTAACTAGGTTATTTCTGACACCAAACTAGCTTCAAATGCCAGAAGAGCATCATTAGGCCCAGAGCAGATGCACAAAGGACAATGACAAAAATCTCAAGGGTCTCTGAACTAACCACTGCTTTCCTTCACCTAATTTTAGCTGAGAACATAGTGTATTGAAAGAGACAACAAATAAATTGAATTTACAAAGCAATATACTTTAAAAAGTATGTGTTCTATGTTTCTGTCAACTCATTGGATAGATGGCAGGCTGGTGAGGCCAGCCCTTAGACTGTCCACAAGACAGCCATGTGTCTGGGTTCACCGGGGTGGCATAAAATGAAGTAACAGCTCAGAGACAGTTCTTACTGCTTCCTAGACAAATAAACACCTAAAAGTTACAGGAATTGACTTATGCTAATTGAGCTCACATGGTGTCTTGGAAGCCCTCACCTTGAACTCCACCCTCCCTAGCCACCCTTGGGCATAGAAGTCATGCTGTTCTCATTCTGAATAGCAATCCTTTAGAAAGCTGGAAGACAGCTTTGTGAGACAGCAGAACTCAGCAGGCCCCTGCCACCCAGCTCGAGTGTAGCTGCTTCTGAGAAATGGTCTGTCGGTCAAGCCACAAGAGGTGCCACTCTGGGATTGCTCATTCATGCCTCTCCTGGGGACCTGCCAGGGACACGGGACACAAGGGCTGGTCAGGACACACAAGGAGTCAGCAATGCTCAAAAGCTATGCAGACCCATGGCATCTTAGAGAACATGTTGACAAATTTACAAAGAAACAAAAGAAATAAATACAACCACTGTCAAACTCAGCTCGTCATTCAGTTGAAGAAAGCACTAATAACTGGAAGAGAAACAAACACTCATGAGTAAACGTAAAACTGAATGAGCCATATAAGAGGCACAGCCACCTGAGTGGAGGGACAGACCACCTGAACTTCACAGACTTCAAGTTCAGTTGGCCCATGACCTCTCATGTTTTAAGGCCCTCAACAGCCTTGCTCCATATTGTTGGCAGGGCCAGCAGTGCAGGCATACAGGGATGTTTACTGGAAATATGGAACTTCAGGTCACTCCCCAGGTGCTCCAATCAGAATCTGAACTGAACGAGATTCCAAGGTGGTCAACCTGCATGCTGAAATTGGAGACACCCTGCTCCACAACAACTCTCCCTGAGCACTTCCAGGCCAGGACACACCACTTCCCAAAGCAATACACCCATGGAGAAAAAGGCCTGCATGTTCCTTCAGAATCTGAACGGAGTGTTATCTATGTGCTGGGCCGTGTGGACTCCAGGATGAAAATGATGAAACCCCAGGCGGGCAGAAGTCTACCTACCAAGCCAGCTGCTCCTATACCACTGACCCTCTCAGCATCTCCAGGTCAACAGCCACAAGTCACTGTATGGAATTTCATCAAACTCACTGCATTTATTCCTAGAAGTGCTCCCTCTCAGAATTCCCAGGCCTGGATTTCTCACTCGCCACACAAAAAGCACTGCCCCAGCAGTGCAACTTGTGTGGCCCACACAGCACCACCTTGACTTCAGGAGCCTTGGCAAAATTAAGGCTAGGTATCTGATAACTACCAAAACACTGGGAGGAAAGCCTCTTCCTGAAGATGTTCAGGGAGTCCAGGTGACCTGGCTTATAGCTTCCAGAACAAAGTCTCTGGACAAAGACCGCACTTAGAGGAGGGCATGCCCTGCCCATTGCCGCCTTGGGGTCCTGAGCTGACCCCCAAGTAGAGCTCAAGTTCCAGCAGCTGCTGCCAAGGGAGCTACTGTGGGAGTTTAAAAAGATTGCTTTAATTCACATTCTTGTTAAATGTTTGCTATGTCTCGGTTAAAGCAGAAAAAAGTCACAGGGCATTCCTAATGAAAGTTTTCCCCAGGAAAAGACCTCCACATAGGCCTGAGGAGCATGCTAATAGAATTTACCTCCGTTGTCTTAAGGACAATCCTGACTCCCCCCAGCTTTCATCTGTAGTCATCATTCAAATAATAATACTGTTGTTAAGCCAGCAGGACACTCTGCAGCTAAGTAACTAGGCAGAGGGAGGAAGGTCCTGCACAAACCCTCCCCCTGCTTTAGCAGGACTCAGAATGCCTGGGCCCAGTCCACTGCCACTACCTGGATAACCCTCAGGAAGGCTCACCCATCAGCTGGGTGCGGACAGAGCTGACATGCTTTCTGAGCAGTCTCAACTGCACACTCTGGATCCAGAACAGAGGCTTCCTTCCAGGGCAGGATTTCCCTCAGAGCCTACCTGAGGTGCTGTAAGAGGACGAGGATGGCGTCCGCCGGGAGAAGCTCTTAACCGCCAGACTCTGGCCTCGCTGTTTTCGCCGCCATGCTGTCCGGCATTTGGAGTCAATGCTCTGTTTGATTCGATACCAGTCAGATTCTGTGATTCCAAATTTATAGAAAAGGTGACCTGAAAGGACAAATCCCAAACAAAAGCTATGAGATACAGGCCTTCTTCCTATACCTCAACTGTCTGGGACAACTTGAACACAGAAAAGGGACAGCTGCTGAGAGCCCACCTACACTTGTCCGAGCCCCTGAGAGCTGATTGATGATCTAGGAACATGAGCCAGAAAGCCATTTGTTATCAGAGAAGAAAGCTGGCCAGTTGATAAGGACCTTCCAAGATCAAATATTTATCAAAATATAGTTACATGTTCTCTCCACTTATTTAACTCTTCAATAACCTGACTTGATCCCCCCACCCAGGGAGACTAAGGTCCTCACCAGGTCCCAGACTCTCCACCCTCCAACTTCTCTCTCTGCCCTAAACTCACGGATAGCATCTAATGTCCCCTTCACCTACAGAATCAAATCCAGGATTGCGAACAACTTACGTTCCACTACTGCAGCCCACTACCCTCTGCTCACCAAGTCCACTGGGCCCTCCCTGCTCCTGTGGAGTCCAGGCCCCAACAGCGTCTCCATGTCCTCCCTCCCCACACACTGCCTGACTGCTTTCACAGCTCCAGCAGCACCTACCTATGCATTTGCACATGTGCTATATTTACTCCTGAGTCACTCAAACACAGGAACTTGGTTTTGTCCCCATGCAGATCAGGAAGCCAGCAGGCCCTGGCACGTGTAAATACTGGATATTTGTTCAGGAAGGATGAGTGCAGCTGCAGTGCTCACACATGCATTTCTCTACCCTTTTATGGCATTTTCATAGAACATGAGCTCCCTCAGAGCAGAGACTATGTGTTGTTATTCAGGTGTTTCTACTCTTGGAGTCCCCTGCACACCTGACAGAAGGGCACTATCTACGCTTCGTTCTTGGGCCAGGGCTGATGCACCTCATCGTGCATCTCCCCCAAGTGCATCCTGCACACGGCAAAGCCCTGGTTAGTACCAACACGTGTGTTAATCACATCTGTGAACAGAAATTCTTGAAGGTTGTTACTGAACAGCACCCAGGTCCCATCACGCAACAAGGAAACTGAGGTTCTAGCAGGCCATTGGGGAGCAGGTAACAGAATGACCAATAGTCAACTGCAAGCCTGGCCACATCTCACTCACTCACATAAGTCATTCTCTTCAACACAGTGACCTCTCTAGTTAGCTCATGCAACTTCATTAACAGGAATAAGAAATTCAAGATTATAATAATCAAAAGACTAAACTGAAAAACTTCCTATTTTGACTACTGAGAGTGCTGAGTTTAGACCATCTGAGAGTTAAGTTTCTGCCCTAAAAATCTGTTCCTACTGAAACCAAAATACTAGAAAGAATCCAAACAAAGGAAGTATTTGTTTTTAAGTGCTATATTAAGTATAGAGAGCTTCTTTGGTTTTGGAAAGATACCTCTTAATATTCTTCATGAACATATGCTGAGGACGCATTTGACACATTCAATGACAACCAAATTTCTGTGATCTAGATAGAAAGGAACTGGGTTGAGTGGGGAACAATTTTCAGTGTCAGGGAGAACCACCACCCAAAGCCTCGCCAGCACTTTCCACCTTCCCTTGAGAAAAGAAATTCATAAACCAAGTGGCAACTCTAGATTCAACTTTCAGATCACTTCTAAAACAATCAAGGAATCATCACTTCAGGAATGTTTGCTGAGTGCTCTCTACACACTGCATATGGTGTCAGGTGCTAGGGAAGGCCTCGTGAAGTGGTGCGCTGGTTACCAACTTTAGTGACAGAAGGATCTGAAGGACCTCACCACTACTGAACCTAAGGCTGAACAGCAACAGGAGAGTTCAACTGTCGACCAGTCACCATGGAGGCCACTACTGACCAACTACCTTACACTATTGATGCTCATTTAAAAACCTCCTGCTGTAAGAATGTTCTTACCCTCATGTTAGTTTTGAAGCAAAAGCCAGAGAAAGGAAAGGCCATTTGTCCAAGTCAAATTACAGACAAGAGTAGAACCAGCCAGCGATTCCAGCTTCCACTGCCCACTCAGGTGGAGAAGAGGCTCTCTCTACTCCCTCATCCCAGGAGAGTCAGCTGCAGGGAGACCAACCAGGCAAGAGGCACACTGGTCTCACAGTGCCTCTGCTTTCAGGGATACCCCAGCTTGACTCCATAAATAGCATCAGCAGTCTTCAGGGCACAGGGAACATGAACCACCAGGCACCAGCCCTTGTACCTATGAAGTGCAGCTTAGCTCACAGGGAAAGCAAACCACAGCAAGTAGGACCTCAGCCCTTGGCCCAGGGCTCTGGGAGGAGTGTGCCTGCCCTCCAGGCTCAGAAGGTGCCTCCCTGCCTGCTTGCCCCAATTCCTGCAGAGCAGGGGTGCCTTCAACCACTGCTGACTACCCTACATCCTCCAGAGCTCCACCACTGACACTGGAGGCTCCAACCAAAGAACTCACCTAATGAGCTCACACAGGGATACTGAGAGTCACTGTGGGAAAGGGACAGAAGACAAGAATGAACAGAGCTTGTAATCTCATTTCCTTGTGGGTGGTGGCATATTTGTCTTATCAGTCGCTGCTAATGTAATCTCAAGTTCAAGGAGAAAGTAAAGCAGGAAACTGAGTGCCAACAGTTTCTTTCTTGAAATTACAGAACTGACTTGATAATGGCTGGCCCAGAGACATAACAGGAATCCACACCCTCTGATGGGGAACCAAGCTGGTGCTCCGAGAACCCACACGTGCAAAGTCCCCCACAAGCCTGGACACAGTGTCCCATCCCTCAGAGCTGCTGATGGCCACTCTTGGTCACCTCCAAGGAGTGTCCAGGACCCTGCTAAGAAGGGGGCCTCCCCATAGTCACTTTCATATAGGCTCCTCTTCAACCACCAGTACAAACTGACCAAACCCTCCCCCAGCTCTCTGGTCAAAGTGGTGCACTCAGTGTCCCCTGAAGCCAGGCTTGGCTCACAACAGACAAATGCCAGCTCCTATGTAGCCTACGTCCTTGCCTTCAAAGGCACCTGTGCAACAGCCTGGCCATTTCACAGTAGAGGAATCAGACAGAGGCAGCATCTGACTATAGGAGTTTAGAAAAACACATGCTGTGCCCTGGGTTAAACAATGTCCCCCCAAAACTCATGCCCTTCCCAGGGCTTCAGAGCGTGACCTCACCGGGAGCCAGGGTCTTTGCAGATGACATTAATTAATACTTGTGGGTTCTCCCTCCAGTGTGACTGGTACCCTTATAAGAAGAGGAACGAGACACACATACGGACACCTTAAGAGAAGATGGCCATGGCCACGTGACATTGGGGGTAGGGGTGCAGCTATGCAGCCACAAGACAGGGAGTGCCAAGAACCGCCCACTACCATCAGAGCTGGAGGGCGGACAGCCTCTTATGGGAGACTAGGTTCTGCCAACACCTGGACCTCCAGCATCTGGTCTCCATGCCAGTGAGAGAACAAACTCTGCGCTTCAAGCCCCCATGTGTGGTACTTTGTTATGGCAGCCCTGCGAACCGAACACACCCCTCTGTGACTGTACCAAAAAGTCTAAAATCACAGGCTGTGTCCAGGAGGCCTACAGTCCTAGAAGTGGATATCCAAAGTGCCTTTCCAAATCAGAGCCTCTAACTTCATGTCAGGCACCCAGTCATCTCCCTGAACAAACAGGACAGCTTCTCTGGGCTTCAGGGGAGCACCACCAGAATGCCATGGCTCCCACACAGCAATACACACCAGAACAAAGCCACCCACAAGGCCCAGCTCACGTGCCACCGTCTTCCAGGCTGTCTCATCTAACTGTCGTGACTAGGGCAATTGCCCTCGTAACACTATCTTTAAGAATATAGACCCATATATGTCTGGTTGGCTACTATCACTGGGAACCACTTCTTACTCCTCTTCCTATCCCAACATCACTCCACACCATGTTCTCACTGTCAAAACTACCATGTGATAGCCTGTTTACAAGCAAACCCATGGTCACATGCACAGATCTCATGTGCTAACTACCTTGAGAGGATCTCAGCTCACGACACACACTACAGCAGAGGATAACAAGAGGTCAGTGGGCTTGCTGCCTGTCTCTATAAACATAACATTTTATTGGAAGACAGCTATATCTATTTGCTTACATTTGGTCTGTGGCTTCCCTCAGGAACCTAAAACACCTCTCCATGACTGCATCAAGAAGCCTAAAGTCCCAGAAAGTAGTTGAGAGACCCTGAGGTCCATAAAGCTTGAAATATCTACTACGGTCCCTTAAGAAAAGGTCTGTGTGCCTCTTCTCCAAGCCAGCTGGCAGCACTCAACTCATCTGGGACCTGCTTTATCCCCACCTGAGAACCAAGGTCAGCTGGTCACACATGTGGCTTCTCAATAAGACATCTGAATGACTCTAGGGGTCTGTGGCAGTGCCCCCTGGGGCTGGACAAGGGTCAGAAGCATTGGGGTGACAAACCTCCTTGCCACACTTAAGGATCGCACCTGAGCTCCATTTCTCAGAAACTCTGAGAGCTCTGCAGTCTGTCTGACGCCCTTAGTCACAGCCAAATGTCCATAGTCAAAGTAGCCATATGAACAGGAATTCCAGCATCTTTGTGACTGCCTTCATGTTGCTCAGCCTACATCACAGAGGGGTCATGGTCAGTGTCGGAAGCTGCACCTGAAGGGCAGGGCCAGCTCACTGTGAGACTTGAGCTCTGCTTTTTATTCAAGGAGACAGAGGTTTCGTGCTCAGTAGCAGCACTCCATAGTTCTGGGCTTGCTGACACAGTCCCTGGGCCCACCTGCTTCATGTCTATCAGAAGCCACACTGAGTGGCTCCTGGAGGCAGGTGGCTCTAGAATGGATGCTCCAAAGGGTGAGCATCAGGTCAGGGGTGCTGACAAGGAGTCTGGGCATCCTGCCTCTTTTCCTAGTGTCATCACTGGAATGAACCATCAGCGATCAGCTAGAGCAAGTGCAAGAACACAGTGGCTGTTAAAATCAGGCTCAGGGCTCTCTTTGCCTGCAGCTCAGCAGGGTCAGCCCATAAGTATGGCCCAGCACTGAGGTGGATGCTTCCCCTGAAGGAGGAGGCGGGGAACACGCTGCTTATGCTACTGGGCAGCTCAGAACCCTGCAGTTCTTGGCGGGTAGGGAGGGAAGGCCAGGCTCTCCTGTCCTCAAGAGTGGCCCAAGGACAAATGAGACTGGGATTGAAAGTCCATGGATAAAGACATTCCCAAGAATCACAGGACATCAGATAACACCTTACAAGAGGAAGTGCTCAATCTAGGCATTCCCACAACCTGTGGTCACCACTAGGCCCAGCATCACCTTCAGCTCTACTGCAACTCTCAATTCAGCTCACTGAATGCCTTGACCGCACCTCACCCCTCAGCTAGGCTGGGAGCAGATCACACACTTACATCGGATCCCGTAGATGGTGAGTGGGTCTAGCTGCTTTTTCCCGTGCTTGCCTTGGCCAGACAGGTTGGACACAGCTTGCACCTCGCGGTGGAAGAGATAGTCCAGCAGCGTCAATGCCATCTTCTCAGCGGTTCGGCAGTTGGTGCTGATGTGTAGCATGTCAGAGGGGATGATGGCACAACGCACCCGCATCTCAGGGTTGTTCTCATCACCAAGCCAGGTGCCGTTGGGGTAGTCCTCTGAAAAGACGAGACCCTCAGTTAACAAGAGGGACCGATGCCATGCAAGCGTCAATTCCTGGCAGCTCAAGTGCATGGCTCAAATACACTCTGCTGAGCGCTCCTGCCCTCTGCATGGAAGCCAGGAGTGCTGGAGCAGCCCCTCTGCTATAGTACAGAGGGGAAGCACAGCAGTCTGACCAAGAACAGAAGCAACTAAACTCCTGTGAGTCCATCTCAGAAAGGCAAATGTGGCAGCTGGAATCGTGTAAACACTCCATCCTGCTTCCACAGGGGCTCACCCCCCCTTCCAACTCAGCTGTAGCAAACAGCACACAGAGCCTATGCACTTTCCACACATTTGAAGGCTATCCAGCTGCATCTTGACCCAAGCTCACAGTGACTGCTGAAGTGTGGCCTGCTGCAGAAGCCTCTACAGTACCCTGGGAGGACACGAAGGCCCAAGCCATCCACAGTCTAGAAGGAAGGTGTCTCAGGAGCTCTGGGCTCAAACACCAGATTCTCTCTGCTGCCCAGCAAGACAAGAGCTTCAGGACACAGACTTTACAACTTCTGATTGCTTTACACTTTGCCCACATCTAGACAGGAGTGAACAGAGGAGGCCACTTAGCCAGCACTTTCCCCATGGGTTTGGGGATCACTGAGTGCACCTGTCTCTGGAATAGCTGAGACCTCTAACTGGTCTCTGTGAAGAGCCAGGAGAAGAGGCCACAGGGAAGCTTGGTCTCACCTCTGTGAGATAAGTGTGCTACTGTCTGCTGTGGAGTCTGTGAGGATATGATAAAAGCCTTTTCCTAAGACTAAGTCTACTACAGTATCCTAGACCAGCACCCTTTCCTGTTCTGTGAGTTCCCACTTCCTCCCTTCCCTCCCTGACCACCCAGCAGTGACCCTGGAATCTGTCTATGGGAAGCATCTTTGACCCCTGCTCAGAACACAGGGATTCAGTCCTTTTTCAAGGCCAAAGCTTCTTCCTTGCTACCTGTGGATCACAACACTTTGATTTATGATCTTGGAGGTTACACGTAACAGGATGAAAGCCTTAAGTCTTGCATTGGAGGCAGGTCTGTAGAAAAAGCATGGCCTAGAATGCTGCCATGTTCTCTGGGACCCAAGAGCCAGGGGCTCACATGCCTGCTTGTTCTTGACTGCAACTCCAGTCTGTACAGTTTGCATGCTACACCTCTTGCAGATGGCCTCTCTCACTTCCCTGAATCACAAGACTGTCATAAAACGTCTGGGTGAGGCCACCAAGAGCCCTGTCTGTGCAGATAGGGCTAGATGGGGGTGGGACCTGGGTCTGAGCTCTAGACTGTAGCTGAGGATGGAATTCAGAATGAGATGAGTAAGTATAATTTGTCAAGGATGTCGATATTTCACAGTGGAGAGATGGTGCTATGGATACACCCTCAGGTATAGACATTGCACTCAAAGTCAATCAGCCACTGTCATGATCTGCCTGTGTATAAAAAAAAAACAAGCTGGACCAGGCATGATGACTCACATAGTCTCAGCACTGGGGAGACTGAGGCAGGAGGATCTCGAGTCTGAGGCCAGCCTGGGATACATAATAAGACCCTGTCTCCCAAAAAAAGAAAAAAAAAAAAAAGAACATCATAATGGTGACCCTGGCAGGGCTAAGAAGAGCTCTTCCCTGGAATGCCGGAAAGACTAATTTCCAGGGCATCTATTCATCTACAAACATATTCTAGACAACTATGTGTTTGTGTTAGGTCTACTGCTCAGATCTAAAGCCTGGATCAGTTGCAGGTCTTACGGACACCAAGCACAGTGGGAGGGGACTGTGCCTCGATGCTGGAGCAGGGGAGTTTGCTGCAATTTAACTGGACCTCCAGTCAAACAGAAGGTGGCCTCTGGTGACACCAAGCATCTCTGAAACTAACACTGAAGACAGAGAGCACTAGGACCCAAACTGAGCATGTGGGCAGCAGTGCCCTGAGTTGACAGAGATGGGGCACTGGTGGCACCTGCCTCCCCTGATAGCCACCTCACCAGGACACCAGGAAGTGCAAGGAACAGTGGGGAGGGGCTCTCGGTTTCCACTTTCAAAGCAGAAAAAAATCCACAAAGATCCACAGTGGCCTTTCCCAGGCATAACAAGCATGCCAAATTCTGCCCAGTCAAAGCCCTGCATGTTTAGATAATGACTCTAAAGTAAACACTGGACAAAAGCTCAGTGCTGTTTTCCAAACAATGAGTCAACACCATGTCCAAGTGTCACCAAGACTGTGTGTGGGATGTCAGCAGAATAACGAACCAGTTTAGCCAGATGGCATGAGCTGCTGGGCACCATGCTGGGAACTTCTCTGAGCTACTCAGGGTGAGGACCAGTTCCCACAGTTGCTGTACATACCTCCATCCTCCCCAGATTCCCACTACAGGGCCTACGAAGCAGCACAAAAAGTTGGGGCACTCCCGGTTCAGTCTTTGAGGCCATCTTGACTGGGTCATGGTGGAGGGCCTCCCTGTGAGCTGGTCTTCAAACATCCAAACTTGGTGCAGGCCAAACTCCAGAGCCAGGTGGCTCCTCACTGTGGATCACAACAATATCTGCTGACTGCACCTGGACTGCCATGAGCCCTCTCTTCACTCCCTGGGCCTCCCTTCCATTTCTTACCACTAGATTCTGCCCTCTAGCTACTTAGTCAAAGGCCACCTGAGCTTTGGTGTAAGAAAGGCAGGGCTTCTAGGAAGACTTTGCTGATACTGGCCTCTCCAGGCTGGTAGCTTATAGTTTCCCTCTCTGTGCTTCATGTGTTAGTATGGATCCCTACACCTGCTGACTCCCACTCATACCTCTGTCAGCAGCATAATTTCCCACTCCTCTTGGGTTCTCCCCAAGTTGCCTGTGAATTGAGGGTATGTGGTCCTTTCTCAAGCAAGAAGATCTTACCAAGGATGGGTAAACAGGAACACCAGCTGCAGCAAGTCTGACCCACAACAGTGAGAGTCACTGTCACCAGGAGAATGAAAACCACCCTGGGACAAGAGAAATGGGCAGGAAGGAAGAACCACACATACTCAGGCACATGTGCCCCATTTAGGCTGTGACAGGCCACACTGGCTCACTTGGTGTGCATCATCCTCAGTGCTCAGACCTGACACCCTTGACCTAGGGAGACAGACCAGGGTTGAGCCCAACTTCTCACAGCCAATGCTGAATCATGTCTCCTACACAGAAAACAAGATGGGACATCTGCCACCTAAGTACCTGACAGTCCAGAAAAGATGTTTGCTTTACTGAACTGCATGGGTCCAATTTTGGCATCTAAAACAACAGATCGAGTCTGGAAGTTTTATTTTTTAAACACAAGAAAAGCAAACCTGCTTTCTATTTAAGTCAACAATGAAATTGTATGCAAAACTGATGAAAATGAGTAACTTTCAGCAGTAACTTGCATTTTCTTGCGACTAAAGCAGTTCAGAATACAAGTAACTGCTCTGAGATTCTATTTTAAGTTCCAAAACAATCAAACTAGAAAGAAGAAAGTACCAGCTGGATGCCGGTAGATGCCTATAATCCCAGCTATCCAGGAGGCAGAGATTAAGAGGGTTGTGGTTCGAAGTCGGCCCGGGCTAATATAGTTCTTGAGACCCTATCTCAAAAAACCCTTCACAAAAAAGTGGACCAGGATGACAGCACAAACTCCTCCCAGGTCCCCTGCGAGCATAAAGGAAGAACTAACCACCTGACTGTGCTTCTTCTTGCCAGTGGTAAGAAGAAGGGAAAAGGAAGAACTAACCACCTGGCTCTGTGCTTCTTCTTGCCAGTGGTAAGAAAGTGGTAAGAAGAAGTGAAAAGGAAGGTTCCTGAGCCCATCAGGCTCCTCCCCAGCACCAGGCAGCATTGGTTCCAAGTCCTCTACTGTCCCCAGGCCTCAGTCTAGCAAATCGCTCTCACATGGATGAAAGCTAACCACAGGGAGCAAAGGCAGACAAGATGTGCCTGGTGCCTGCTGTGCACAAGACTGAGACTCAGGGTCCCTCCTAGGTCAGCAAGGGCAGCAGAGCAGACTCAACAGACACATCACCATCTTCCAGAGCCACGGCACAGACAGTCTACAATATCACCTGCCACTACAAACACCACCCCAGCCTTCCCCAAAGACAATATGACACCCCCATCACACTCAAATGTCAGCTGTGTGGAACATCTCAGAGTCATGAGGCCCCAGCAGCAGCTCAGTGAATGAGGGGCATGAGATCAAGTTCCTACTCCTCAGAACACACAGCCCAGACACACTGTGAGCTCTGGTATGCAGCCCCGTCTTCCAGACACCCCCAGCTCTCGTAGAGAGCAGCTGCCATTGGTGATTTTCCTAAGTCACTCAAGACACACAGCATTGTCCAGCAAAATGCACAGTGAGCAAACAACAAGGAGACTGAAGGCTTCAGGGCTGTTCAAAGACCGGAGCACTGGGTTAGTACTTCAGCACAATGACCTGCACATCAAGTCAGCACCACACATCGGCTTCAGCCACCTCCAGGCAAGCTTTCAGAGAACAGATTCATGGTCATGAACCAATATTAGGCTATAGTTTCATCCATACCAAAAATTAATTTTTATCTGGCCTTTGTAAAGGCCTGCCCAAAAAGTTTATAAATCTCAAAGGCAACATACTGCATGGCATGGTAGAAATATTTCCACCAACAAACAGAAATCAGAAGAAACCCACCAGGAATTCACAGAATAGGAAACCAAAGGTCCTGTTCTGCCATCTTTCATGCTGCCTCATCTTTCATTACACCTCAAGGCCCAAAACGGTTCCCCCCAGCGTATCACAACTACCAACAACTCATTTGTTCCACCAAGGTGGACAGTAAGAATTCTCTGTATAATCCATAAAACTTTACTTACAATCATCTGCCCCACAGATGAGTCAGGGCACTTCAGGACCCAGGAGCACCCAGTGAAAATGAAGCCACATGTGTGTCAACATGTCCTCTGGACAGCTGCAGCTAGACTTTGAGATGCTTTGAGAGGGTCTCACCCACGAGTGGATGTCTAACCAGTGCTTGGCATGGGAAAAAGGGGCCAGAAAAGTAGGGTAGGTCAGGAAGGGAAGAGAAGGGTTCTCCGAACTAAGCGAAGGCCACATGCTGGAGGACAACTGTGGGAACCAGGTGGTGCCCTACTGTTATTATATGAATTCTGTGACAAAGAATTTGAGCATTGCAGAAATTTCAATTTAGAAATGGGGCACTCCATTTTGCCTCAAAATGGTTTCTTTTCTTTTTTTTTTTTTTTTTGGTATGGACTACTTATGTTCTGTTTCACTTTTTTTTTGAGTGAACTGTTTTAGATCGACAATTCTATCATAAGGATTGTGCAAATATTTTTTAAAGTGAAAAAACTAACTATTAATAAGGACTTTGGACCCTAGGCCATGCAGTCATTCCACAAGCAGAGTCTACGCCCCTGCTATCAGCCCAGCTCTCTATGACCAGGCACCTCTGGGGCAATGGTTGGTGACAATGATGTGAACAGAACAAAGGTCAAAGTTTCAGGCATGCCAGCTCCTGCCCCAGGGCAGGGACTAGAAAGATGTCTTTTGTTGGAGGCTATCGGTGAACCTGAACTGCTCAGAATGCCAGAATATGCCAACTGTGATTACGGAAAAGTGTCCCAGACTGCCTCTGCCTGTGATGGGAAGGAGTGTGACCTGCTGAGCACAGACGTGGTGCCCCCAGGCTGCCTATCCTTGCCAATCCCTTCTCTAGCTCAGCAGGAACACAGACTTCTGGACCGGAGACCCACTCGCAGCCTTGTGTCAGTCTGTTTGCAATCCTACTCTTCCTGGCAACCGAGTTATGATCACCACAAAGCTGTGCAGATGTGTAAGAATCAATGTTAGAACAGTAAGACGAGTTATGTGAATGAATGTTCAAAGAATGTTTTTGGTTCAATTTTCTTCTTTACATCCATATGGGTGATGTTCTGTGAACCCGGCAATTGTCATTCACCTGATTTCACAGCTTACATCCTGTTCACACTCCCACCAGCTTTTCCAATTGACAACCTCTGGGCTACCCTCCATTCTCTCCTCCATCTCTCACTTAGCACATCACAGCTCCACAGAAGCCACACCACTAGCTGGTCTTTGGAGCACCTGAGCCTAATCCCAGACAATATTCCAATTCTGATTGAAGTACACTCCTTCCCCATTACAGTTACATACCAAACATTTTATATGTAGGCTTAGTCAAGTTTTATAGGAATTATCAAAAGCCACACAGCAGGAATTTAAATCCTTAATTATGATCTAACTAAATCCCTTAATTAATTAACAGATCCCATTCTTGGTACATTTTAGCTAATTTGTGTCTCCTACTCAGTTAGCCAGCTTAACCTTCAAATGATTATGCCACACACACTCAAAGTGCTCAACAAAGACAGGAGCACAGCAGGATCCACCGTCAACAGAAGACAAGTGAAAGAGCTAAGTTTACAGTGCCAGCTCCAACAGCTAGCAGTCATCTTCCTTCTCATTCAAATTGAGTCTACAGCACCAACAAGTTATCTAAGTAAACACTAGGATAAGATGAGATGGCACCTTTGTAGTTTAATAAACTGACTCTAAGTCTGATCTAAAAGGACATGCTGCATTTACTGGAATTCTTAAGTAATAGCTACTTTGCAATCTGTGGTTCTCTAGGACATCGGACACTCAAAAGACAAGAACAATCTGTCCACTTGCAGTGCTCGGCTCTTATCAAGAACCAAAAAGACTAATTACAATGACAAACCTATCACCCATAGCACCACAAATCAATAATGCTTCTTTAACATGAGCCAGCTGACCTGACACTGTCTCCACTGAGCAGCAGTTTTGGCTGGGCAAGGCCACAGTGGGCCAGCAATGGGTCTAAAGCAAGAGACACTTGTGAACTGGCAGTCTTCCTGGCATTTACGTACACAGCAATCACTGATGACGCCATCCATCTCCCAGAGGTTTTCACCAAGTCACTGTGCCGACACAGCAGCTTGGCCAGATATTTCCTAACACTGATGTCCTGCTGAGATAAGCATTCCCAAGGATAGAGTCAGGGAGTCAGATTTATCTAAGAATGTTTTCTCACCATGAGATGAGAAAGTGGAAAGCTTCAGAATTATGACCTCTTCTTGAAAACCCAGTAAAATCTTAATAGAGAAACTTCTTCAGTTTCCCAGTACTGGCGCCCTGTGCTGCATGTCAGTCATGCTGGCGGAGAAAGACAGCTTTCAGTGAGGCTGTCACACTGCTCAAAGCCTCTGCTAAAGAAGCACGTCTGACTCAGAGGAGCAATGAATACTTAAAGACCTTGAATTCAGACACAAAGGAAACCCTTACCATGTCAGTAACACTCAATCTGCTGTCTTCCTGACAGAAATACACTTACACTGAGATAAAAATTTAAAAGGGGGAAATTTGTTGATAATCCCAAGCTCCCCAAAATCATCAAGTTTTTGTTTCTTTGCTGGCTTAGTTTACATGAACAAACATCTGGCCTCAGCAGTTGGCCAAACCTACACGGGTATTTGCAGGAAACCCACAAGGAAAAGATGACCAGTCAGTCCCCTCTGCAGAGGGAGCCTCACTGAGTGTCCACAAAGACGGGGGTGGGCAGCATCTCAGTTTGGCACTAACTTGTGTTCTCAAGGTTAGTGCCAAAGAACCAGCTGCCCTGGTCTCGTGGTTCACACGCACACAAAAACCTTCAAGACGTGTTCGTTCACAGCAGCCAGCAGGGCACCCATGGCTCACACTTGTAATCCCAGCTACTCAGGAGATCAGGAGGATTGCAGTTCGAAGCCAGCCTGAGGAAAATAGTTCATGAGACCCTATCTCAAAAATACGCAACACAAAACAGGGCTGGTGGAATAGCTCAAGTAACTAGCACCTGCCTACCAGACATAAAGCCCTGAGTTCAAACCCCAGTACCACAAAAAATGGTACAAAAAATGGAAAAACAAAATGCAGTCCCTGTCTATACAAAGGGACATTCCTCAGCCATTGAAAGAACCAGAGCAGTGACACACACTGTAGCAGGAATGACATGCAATAGTGTGCCACGGACCCAGCACTACTGTGTCCTCTAGACCAGAGATGCCCTCAGGGAGTCTGCATTTACACCTGTGTCAGAGATGCCAAAGACATCATAAAGACAAGGAGCAGCCTGGTGCAACAGGGAAAGGCTACAACTCTCCATCCTCAGCAAACTTCTAGAACATGGTTAAATAAGTACAACTGAAAACAATCAGTAAGTCTGAATTAACGTGGAGGAGTCCCACACCAATACAGAAAAAGGGAAAGAGTGAGTTATAAAATCCTAACATGTACATGTGAATGCAGGAAAAGCCCAGAAGACTGAGACCTCTGAATGGTGAAATTTCAAGTTATTTTAGTTTTCCTTGTCATTTTTATATTATATCACTTTCTTAAAAACAGTAAACGTATTACTTTCCTGAAAAGCGAAAACAAAGTTATCTCTATTTCTGTGCTGTCCAACAGAGCAGAAGGGACACACCTTCTGAGTTCAAGGTGATGAGTGTGACATTGCTCCCGATGTTCTGGCTCCCCGGCTGGCCACAGTTGGACACAGAGTCGCTGGCCTCCGACCCGCTCTCCCCATCTTCATTGTGGCTGTCATCTTGACCTGGCACCTTCACCACGATAGTGTTCTGCCGACGTCCAGGAACAGCACTGACAGAAACAAACACACCAGCCCATGTTGAGAGAATGACCTGACCAGAATGCCAAGGTCAGCCCTGACTCCCTGGATAGTCCTCTGTGCTGGACTTATCCCAAGACCTAACTGAGCAAGGACCAGTGTACCCATATATCTCCCCACACAGCTCTTTCTATGAAGATGAACAGCAACTTAACATGGAAACAAGTCTGGGGTTGAGAGAAATGGAATAAAATAAAACAATGTTTAAAAAATTTACATCACAAAAGAAGTAAAATCATAACTTACTGTGACTTAGGCCTAGAATGCTGCTTTCAGATTTCAGAGATTGCTCTATAAAGTGCTGACTTGAACAAGAGTGATTTCTAAGGCTATGTCAAAGCAAAGACTAAATGAAGACGATGGGAGCACAAAGCCCCGGATCAACCCATGCACCATCAGACACCAAGCATGGCTCAGCCTCCAAAAATGCCTTCACACTCCCACAGACAACCCCCGGAACAGGCTGCCAAGGCCGTCAGGACCCCAGGAATCCCTTGGGGGCTATTCTTACCACAGGGCCTTGAGCGACGTGCAGCAGCAAAGGTCTGCCAGCAGCGCAGGACCACATGGCCAGCTGCAGAAAAGTGCTCCAAAAAAAGAGCACTTGGAGGCTGCTTGCCTTTTGAACGACCCTGTCAACATCCCTGGCCACAGCCTACTAAACACTACGGAGGGAGAAGTACAAGTTCCCCATTAGCAAAGTCAAAAAGGTACAGCGCTGCACTCCCTGGACTTGATCCTACAGACAGCTGTCCAACTGGACTGGCTCTCCAGTGCTTGGCCTGACCAGCTAACCTTAGTGCAAACCCCAAGAGAGACCGATTCCTCCCCAGCAGCCTGGCTTGCCGCCAGGCACCCCTGCCTGTCACCCCACACATCAGGCCCAAGACCACAGCTGCTTCCTAGAGAACTGGACTAAGACAACAAGAACAAGAGGCCAAAGCTGGAGGACCAACAACGTGCAGAAGAGATTGAAAGAAAAAGCAAAACGGGACTTTGTGAAGACACAGATGGGAAACAAAAAGTGACAAAGCCCTCAAGGGGGTGTGGAGAGCTCAGACCGCTGGGCAAGACCACCTGCAGTAGTCTCACCCTCACCTCCACACAGGTAGGACAGGGCCTCTTATCCACTCCCATTTCTATCTAGAATGGCTCCACTCAACTTATCTCAAAGCAAAGGTGTAAGAAAAAAGCCATGAACTCAACATGCCTGTATCATTGAGTAAACTCAGACAAGTCTCTGTTTACCTGACCAACTGCTGTGGGGACACGTGGGAGTGACCAGATAATCACTGTGAAAATTCACTGCCATCACCCTCCACCACACATCAACTCTAACTCGGAAGTCCCCAGGCCGCTTGCCCTCTGTGTGGCCTCACCCCACCCACCCTGAGCACCTACAGAACAGAGTGGCACCTGCCGGAATCAACTCCATGACCACAGAGATGGCTGTGTGCTTGCTGTGCCCTGGCTCAGGGACATTCATTTATTTTTGTCACAGTGGCAGGGGAAGGTGGGGTGGTACGTAGCTACTGACTTGCTAATGATATTTTCCAGGGAATCCGGTGCCCTGTTGCTCAAGGGGTCTTCCATCTTGGCTACAATGGCGTTCTGCCGATCATTGTTGAGTATTACTGTAGTCTGGGGGACGACGCTATGGAACAAAAGAATCACAAGAAAAAGAAGACCTTAAAACAACAACATTCATTGACAGAGCACATCAGAGTCATTCAATACAGTCGGCTCCCAGCAGCCTGCACCAGGGAGGGAACAGCCCAAGCAGGGAATATCTTAGTTTACATCAGGTAAGAGCACACTGGCAATGGGAGTCTTTAGTAGGGCATAACTTCTTGCTGGCTGGTACTCTCCATTTGGCACAAGCTCATGATGAGAGAAAGCTGGCTGAGGCTATGTGAGGACAAGTATGTGTAGAACACTCAAGGCCCCAAAAGGTCTCCTGCACCTTGTAAGGTGCCTACAGCAGCAGCTGTGCGTGAGGACCAGCTTCCCTTTCCCTCATCCCACCCCAACTGATGGTGAAGCACTAGGAGCTCACAGTTGCCTGTGGCAATGTTACTCCTCATCTGCACTCTGGAGAAAGTGGCAGCCATCACCTTGATGGTAAAGGGACACACAGCATGCCCCACCTGCAGACTCCTCTGAAAAGTAGAACCACAACCAGAAGGCCTCAGGGCTTTGCTCTGGAGAAAAAGGAATTTATGAAAGAACCGGCCATGGCCCAGGAACCACCAGGCCCAGCAACACCCTACAGACAGCACTAGGATGTGCACACAGGCAGGACCATCGCAGTAGACTCAAGGCACACATGCATTGCTTTTTAACCCTTAGCACTTTATGGTCACAAGAAATTTCTGAAGTATGCTTTGCTGTGAGAGGTTAGGGAACAAAGAGAACTAGCACTTGAAATGCAAAGACATATTACCTGAGAATAAAATACCATACTTTCCGGGGATGGGTGGGACGGAGGGAAAGACGAGGAAAAGCTAGTCTGTCTCAGCCATGTGACTGTAACTGCTCCCCCCAAGTACATATCATCCACACACATTCTCAGAACTACAGCTCATGTTCCAAAATAAAGTCTCCTCAGCTGCCCACCACTCACAAGTGTTATCGCTTTCTCAATCATTCTTCTTGCACTTTGCTGACACCTTAAGTAATCACCAAACCATGGTGAATAATCCACAGGTTATCAGCAGTAACCCAGGAGCCTTCTGACTTGGTCGCTGCTCAAGGCCACTTACAGCCTCCAACAAAATCTCATGCCTTCTGTATGCAGAAAACAAGACTAAAGGGTTTGTAAATAATATAGGTTTGGTATTTATATAATCCTAGCAACCTCAAATTATACCAAAATAGTTTGAACCACGAGCCAGTAGCTCACACTTGTATTCTTAGCTGCTTGGGAGGCTAAGATTCAGAGGGTCATGGTGTGAGGCCAGTTAGGGCACAAAATCTATCAGATCCCATCTCATCCAATAGTGGACATGATGACATACTCCTGTCATCCCAAGCTTCATGGCGAGGCTGAAATCAGAAGGATCATAGTTGCAGGACAGTCTAGGCAAAAAAGTTCACAAGACCCCATCTCAACAGAAAAGGCGTGGACAGTGGTACACTAATCTCTCATCCCAGCTATGGCAGTAGTGTAAAATAGGAGGATCTCAATCTAGGCCAGCCTGAGCAAAAGTGAGACCCATCTCCAAAATAACCAGATCAAAATGCACTAGAGGTATGGCTTGGGTGGTAGAGCTCCTGCTTTGCAAGCTCAAAGTCCTAAGTTCAAACCCCAGTGTCACCAAAAAGAAGAAAAAAGCAACAGGGATCAGAAAGAAATGAAGATACTTTCCCCCTGTAGGATTTGGACTTCTGAACATGCTGATTCATTCTTTCCATGTCACAGTTGTGTGGCTACAGGCTGCCTGCTAACTAGCTTTGTTCGTAACTTTTGGGGGTACTAGGCTCAACTACAGTCCCTGTGACTCAAACACTAAATTGGGAACTACAGGAGGGGGATTTTGCAGATAGGATTAAAAGTCTTCTTGTCCACCTAAGTTCATCAAAGGAGTGGTGATCTGGGTGGACCTGACCTCTGCAGGGGCCTTCAGAAAAATGGCAACCTGGAGACCACTTTCTTTTTTGTGGCTGAGGAGAGCTTTATGGTGAGGTGCCTAGCTTGCCACCTGCCCACTGCAGAGCATCTGGGTATGCACAGTAAATGCCACTGAGTGGCTGCCGGGCCACGTGGGAAGGGCACACTGAGCTTCAGGAGACACTGCCATGCTGGTTCGAGGGAGGCCATGCTCGTTCCCACCCCACCTGCAGTGGGTGAGAGCTCCTGCTTCTCTTTAGCCTTGCTGACTACTTTCATGTCAACCTTTCTGATGGGAGTGCCCAGGGTCCCACCTGCACATCCCAGTGGCTACAGGTGCCCAGCAATTGTGCATGGCCTGCTTGCCATGCACAGCTCTTGGCCAGGAGATTGGTGGTTTGTGGTTTCGCCGGTTGTGGTTGTGGTTTGTTGGATGTTCTATTGGTTCTAAGGGCTCTCACTTCCATCAGCTACGTCCCTGGCAGATGGCTTCACCCGTCCAAACTCATCTTCCCACTCTCCTCTCAGCATCTACACAGCAAAAGTCACAGCTTCTCCTCAAGTACAAGTCATCTTCTTCTCTTGGATGGAGCAGATCTAACGATTTGTAGCCCAGCTCTAGACCCCTAACTCTCCTCTGTTTAAACCTCAAAGTGTTGTGGTTTCACATTTAGACCTTTGGTCTAGTTTAAGTGCCTACTGCACAAGGCGGCTACATCAAGGGTCACTCCTGCTCCATCTGGAAAAGATGGACTCACCAAGCAGCTTCTGGCTGAGCAGCTTCGCGCTCTGCCAAACCCAGCTAGCCTGCCCCACAGTCTGATGCTGGGTTCTCCATTCTGCTCCATTAGGCAATTATCAATCCTTTTTCACTCTATTTTTTTTTTAATTCTTTCTTCTGATTTCTAATCATTCTTTGGCAATCTTTTTTTTCTGGTGGCACTGGGGTTTTGAATTCAGGACCTCATGCTTATTATGCAGGTGCTCTACCACTTGAGCCACTATGCCAGCCCTCTATTGTGTTGGGTCTTACTGAGATAGGTTCTCACTTTTTTACCAGGCTGGACTCAAACCATGATCCTCCTGATCACTGCCTCCCAAGTAGCCAGGACTACAGACGTGAGCCACCAGTGTGATCCCCTGGCTAGCTGGCTCCTTAGCATCTTGATTGAACTATTTATCGCTACACATAACTACAAGTATGTTTTCTAAGTTCCTACTAAATAGAAGCTTGACAAAAATAGAAGAAAAGAAAAATGGTAAAAGACTCATAGACTGTCCTGACTGCTGTTTCTTTTTTTTCCTTGAGACAAGGTTTTGCTATGTAGACAAAGCTAGCCTCAAACTCACCATCCTTGTACCTCAGCCTCTCATGTGAATGCTAGGATTTGATGGGCCCCAGCACACCTGGCCTGCCTTTTTTTTAATTCCCAGGTGATGGCAATTCCCAGGGTCAAGTGATATAAACTGAATGTTCTTGACTTCACATAACATGATTCAGAAGTAGAACATGCACTACAGTGTGCCTGTAACAGCATAAATGAGGCCCTTCACCCCCTGTGAACAAAGAAGCGCCAACAAGCAATGACTGGCTCAGCTGTAGGGCCAGCCAAACCACAGGGACAACTGCTAACAGTGATGCGGGAGGGTTTCAAGTGAAGCACACCATTCAACCATAGTGGTACTGAGGCAGGGCACTTTGGTGCCTTTGCCATACACAAACAGTCCACGCACAGCACAGAGAGGCTACTCCCCTGTCCAAGACTAGATAGCTAGGAGTGGCAAGTAAGTTTGAACCCAGTATGCTTCTGTGACAGACAGAGCCAACTTTGTAAAAATCAATGAAGCTGCACCTACAGACCGCTAGTTCTTATACATCAGAATGTTCCATGTTAGAGGCATTGGTGGGATAGTGGCGAGCACAGCTAACTTCCAGAATGTTCCAGGGAAGCCAGAACAACAACCCACCCCCCAAGAGAGTGCAGGCCTTTTTTTACTTTTATAATTCCCCTGGGTAATTCTGATGAATACTTCTGGTTTAAAACACTGAATGGCAACCGACTTGCATGTGCACATGGGACCCTGGGCCAAGATCCTCCTCTGCTCCCATACGCTCGCCTACACCTGATCCTTCTCTGTGCAAGTTTACTCCTTGCTCTGGGACTGCTGTGTCTCCACACAGGACCCTCTGTCTGCTTTGTTTAGGGATGTACTGCAAGTGCCTGAGAACTCTGGGACAGTGGAAGCCTGCCTACTTCAGACATGAGTGAACTCAAGAATGACCTGCACTAAGCTAGTTGCCTCTGGATTCCAGGGTCCTCACACCCAAAGACAAGATTGAGACTAGCGAGCCAGAGTAAGCCCTAAGAACACAATGCCCAGAGGGTGGCTGAAGTTGGCTCATCCACTGAAAAGAGGGCGATCTGAGTCCCACAAATGCGAGGCTATGGGAGGCCTGCAATCCCGTGGAACTCACTGGGGTGTCCAGCACGAGCCTTTAGGCACTCGATGAACAGCAGGCTCTGCACCACTTCACCTCCCAGGGTGGGTGGGCTCATGAATACTAAGCACTGGATGCCATTTTATCCCCATTTCTGACACTGAAGCTCAGAAAGGTCTCCCTGTTACCACTGACAGAGTGCTGGAAGCTCAGCACTCTTGGGCTCCTGTGTTGGCCAGGAGCAGCAGTGGCCCGACCTCAACCCCTGTGGCAATGGGCCCTGCAGAGCTGAGTACCGTGTCACTTTAATGGATTTAAAACAAAGCACCTTCGGCGCCCAGAGTTGTCAGAGCAGACGTCTTCCAAGCCAAGCTTATAAAGTGGCCTCGCCTTCTCTTCAGTGCCAGGAAACTCTCTGTCACAAGGTCGTAAGTGACCATCCTACTTCTGATTGTTTAGTTTTTGATTTCTGTGGTGCTGGGAATGTGACCAGGGCCTTGCATGTGCTAGGCAAGTGCTCCCCACTGACCTACACCCCTAGCCCCATACTATTTTAGAAAAACACTCTCCTGCTCCCTTTGCTCAGCATCCACACAAAAGAGAA